ACGCGATCCGCGCCACACAGCGTGGCCAGAATGCGGCAAAGGCCTTCCTGGCTGTAGTAGGATGGTGAAAGTAATGGTACAGCATTGTAACAGTGAATAAGTACTGAGAAATAATTCTAAACTCATGGCTGGACACGGATACGTTTGCGGTCGTTGCCAAAAAGCCCCTGGCGATGCTCTTTCGTTATGGATTCAGTCAGCGAAGTGCTACGTTTTGAAACCAAAGCTAAGTGCTTCAAACCACTCACCAAAGTATGGATTATTGCAATATTGGATTCATCGCGAATGAAGAGAAAGCGGAACGTGTGCGCCAACATGCTGCGTGGTTCATCTTACGTCGTTAAGTTCCAATGAGTTTTTACGTAAAAACACAAACAAAACGGCCCTTTTCAGGGCCACCACACACTCCAAAAAGAGAACTACCGTAACAAACACACTATTTAAATAAATCAAACGCGTTCGTTTTTGACAAATAAAACTTTATTGTTGACCCCATTCTTGGCTAAAAATCACCCTGGGCGTTTAGCGGAGGATGTCTCCAACATGTAACTTTTGTGAAAACAGGGGGGTGGGCGCTGCCCAAGGAGGGGCGCGTGCCCGGGGTAGTATACATTACCTGTTTAGAGTTGTTTATCCGTGATTGAGTAGAATGGACAAGGTGCACACCGCCTTTCTCGACCTCCCTGTACCGAATATTATCATCATCTGTAATAAGTACAATCAGGTCTACGAACACCAGCAATGAAGTACGATGAATGTGACATTACTGAATACGTTAAATCATACCAAGATCGGATGGCTCGGTGGTCGCATCACAAACAAAGGAGACATCAGATTCCATTGATTTACCAACGTTACAAACGATATTCGCCAAACTCACGATGATCGGAAACGATGTTGCAGCAATAAAGGCTGAACAAAAAGAATTACAGCGAACAGTGTCATTTCTCAGCACTTATTTCGATGACATCAAAGGCGACATGACGAATTTACAGGAGTCAAATGGCATACTTAAACGTGATAATGTGTTGTTGCGTAACAAGTTAAACAAGCTATAACCTGAAGTCAGTGAGCTTGACCAGTACCACCGGCGAGTAAACGTCGAGATCAGCGGGATACCGGAAACATCATACCAGGAGTTTCCCTGTCCGTTTTGCAGAAACTCCACCATACTATCACAGATGCGGACATTGGTATCACACACCGCACCGGAGTCAAACAACACCGTGACCGTGAAATGGATTGTCATAGCCATCCACGCCCAATCATTGTAAGATCGACCTTTCGCAAAGTGGGAAAACAGAAAACAGAAAAAAATAAAAAAAATATTACAACACGCAGCATTGGATATAACCAGCAAAACCATATACACGTAAACGAAAACTTGTGCAAATCGTCACGCCACCTGTTGACATTGACCAACATAGCGAGAAAGAAAACTAATTATCGGTTCTTATGGACTTACAATGATAGAATCTATATTAAGAAAGATCAAGATGCAAGGTCAGTTATCATACGAAGCGAAGACGACATAAATATAATTATTTAGTGTGTAATTTTAGTCCCATGACAATGTATATATATATAACTTGTCACTAATGAACTTTGAACTTGAACAAAAACTTGACATACTTGATATTGATAGTATTTCACCCTCCGAGTTTAATACCAAATTTGACACTAACTACTAGTATAATAAATGTCTCTCCATATCGCACATTAATATTCGCTTAATTAATAACAATTCGGTCAATTAAAGTTATTATTCCAAACTGTCTCAACACTAACTTTCAATTTATTACCCTATCTAAGATTTGGCAATTGAATAATCCAGAACTAGTCCAATTACCAAATTATTCTCTTGAGTTAAAATGTAGAGACAATGGCAGTTGTGGTGGTGTGGGTGCATACAT